TTCAGTAGCCAGAAACCCCTAAACATGAAAAATTGACCAACTCATTGAATGTAAACAATCCAAACATTCTCTATTGGATAGGAGATTAAATCAGAAACAGGATAAATATAAATTCCTGGTTTAATATTTTTTATTTTATTTCATTCAATAGTTCATATACGCACAAATATCTAAGCACACACACATGTGCGTGCATAACTTGCTGAGTCCATTTAGTATTGCTTCTGTGTTTAAGGCTGGCCACTTAGGATAACCTATCAGTGGGATTGTTCCTGGAGAAGACTGAGTATCCCTCTCAGTAGCCATTACTTTCCTATAGCTCTTTATTTAGGGGTGGAACCTTGTGAGATTTATCCAATCCATGATGGAATGTCAACTGGTACTGTCATTGTGCAGATCTTGTTTAAGTGATCACATTGTGGTGCTGCTTCCTGTCACATATAGAAGACACTGTTTCACAGAAGATGCCCTGGTATTCTGGCTTTTACAATCTTTCAATACCCTCTACGATGATGTTCCATGAGCCTTAGGTGTAGTAGAGGTTGTACTTCAATTGGGTATAGGCACCCCAGAGACAGTTGTTCTCTGCATTCTGATTAGTTGTGGGTTTCTGTGATGGTTTCCTCCTGCTATAAGAAAGAAGTTTCTTTGGCAAGTGATGAGAGCTTATTTCTCTGCAGCTATAAGAATAGGCATTTAGAATGCAGTTAGGATTATCCTAGTTTAAGAAAGTGACATTAGTAAGTTCTCTTCTAGGGTCTATCTATGATGTCATCAACTATAGGTAGGTGGCTAGATTTACAATACCAGACATGAGAACCTCTTCTTGAGCAGGCATTAAGTTCAATTAGATAGATGGTTGTTGGTTACCCCTAAGATATAAGTGCCACTACTGCACCATTGGGGATATTTTGACAGGGCGGTCATTGTTGTGGTTCCTAAGCTTTACCGTTGGGAAAGACTACAGATTGCTACTCTCCCCTAGCAGCTTGTATAACAAATTCAAATACTATGGGAGCTAGTCCTTAGGGAGAGAAGTCTCCAGGTCAATTCCAGCTCAGTTCCTCCTAGTCCTGTGTCTGAAGTGTGTCGTATCTTTAGCAATCAGGTCTTACCTTCAAGTTCCGTGAGACCATCAAGGGCAACAGCAATAGCTTATGTTGTTTGGGGAATCTCTTGGACTCTGACCAACAACTTGAAGGGAGGTTTTCCAAGTCTGGTACCAGGGTTTTTATTAGCTAGTGTATGACTCTTGTGGGGACTGTTATCACCCCAAGTGTCATAATTTCATTTAAACTATTTATATTTGTATTCGCATATGCACATATATATTATATGTGCATTTATATTAAGTAAACATAAAGCAGTAGATTTTCCTTTGGATTTTTCAATCATCTTTAGTGTCTGTATTTCTCTCCACCCTTCCCCATCCCTAGTGCCCTCCCTTCACCCTCACAAGTTAAAGCCCTCACTCTGTTCTCCCCACTTCCCACTTCATAGCGCCTATGTCCTACTAACCCTGCCTTTTAAGAGCTCTGCCCATGCCTGACTACATGTTTTCATAGGACATTGTTTGGATTTGCTTGCATTGTTAGACTCTTCAAAATATTTAGTAGAGTTTGAACACAGAAACATTATAGTAGTAAAGTAGGGTCCAATCAAAACTGACAGCAATTTTCGAAACACAAACTATGTGTAAGACGGTCACTGTCTAGCTTCGTTTTGGTTTACTGTTTATGTTTGACTCTGTGCATTTGCTACTAGGTTGGTAAGACTGTCTTAGAGAGGAAGAACCAGATCTTTGTATCCTTTCAATGAGGTAGCTCTTGGTGAGTGAGACATTGCACATCAAGATGTAAAAGCTTGCCGGGTATGGTGGCACAGGCCTTTAATGCCAGCACTTGGGAGGCAGAGGCAGGCGGATCTCTGAGTACAAGGCCAGCCTGATCTACAGATCGAGTTCCAGGATGGCCAGGACTATACATAGAAACCCTGTCTTAAAAAACCAAAAAAGAAAATAAAGGAAGGAGTAAAAACTTAAAGTGTTGTTGAGAAATAAAGGAGTTGGAATAAATGTTTTCTTAGATCAATTCTGGTTGAAGATATTTTAATTACTAAGGACTGCCTGCAAAAAGGTGTTACCACAAGCCAAATTTGTGTGTGTGTGTGTGTGTGTGTGTGTGTGTGTGTGTGTGTGTGTTTGATTGTGTGTAATACAAAAACCACAAAATCTCCTACTCTAACCTGGATCTAAACTGCCAAAGCTTCACAGAACAAGAAGATTTCATTTTTGAAGGGGTTTCTTCACAATTTAGGGTAGAGGAAGGTATTAAAAAGCTAAAGTATCTAAAAAAATGGTTTTCCATGTTTCAGAGCACTGGGTTTTTTATTGTCTTGTGTACCAAAATTGGATTTATTTTTCCCTATTAAAATTCCTTTCAAAAGAGTTTTGGTTCTGGGGCTAGAGAGATGGCTCATCAGTGAAGAACACTGGTTGCTCTTCTGGAGGACCTGGGTTCAATTCCCAGAACCTACATGATAGCTCACACCCATCTGTAACTCCAGTTCCAGTGGGTATGATGCTTTCTTCTGGCCTCCACAGACATGCATGCTTGTGGTGCACACACATACATGCAGGTGAAACACCTACACACATGAATTTTAAGACATTAAAAATAATAAGATATAAGACTTTTGGTATTATCAAAGCCATGTATACTCATAAGAAAGTTGAAAAATAAAGAAAAATGAGAAGAAAACAAAAGTCTATCAGTTTTGTTACTTACAAATATCCATTGTTATTATTTTGTATATTTCCAAGTGTATTCTATTTTCATTGTTATAATCATATTTTCCATTAAATGTTGTATCCTACTTTCAAATAATACTATATATTATAAAGATAATATATTATTCAAATAATAACATATATACTACATTATACATAGTACAAGCATTTCTTTGTCATTATAAACCGTGCACATATCAGTTTAATTGACTATAACGATATTCCATTTGTAGGACTATATAATATTTCACTTACCCACTAAACTGTCTTTATCTTTTTTTTCTTATTCTAGGTTATACTGGAATTAACATAGTTAAACAAAAACTTTGCATCCATCTCTATTTCCTTAGGATTCATTAATTAATTCCCCCATCATACAATTATTACTCAGGGCTTACCTCAGTGGCATGTAGTCTTTTACTAAGAAACCCCCGGAAGAAAGAACAAATTTAAGAGAAAAACTTATAGGTTCAGCTTTGGTTGTGTTGAATTTGAGGTGCTTGCAGGATATCTGATTGGAGATGCTAAGGAAGCAGAGCTCAATGTAGCCATCTGGGAAGAATTATAGATAACATTCGTGGCCATATAGATGAAAGATACCATTTAGAGATGGAGAGAGAGCATATTAATCTTCACTCTGAGACTGCCTGACTTTCAGAGGTCAGACAGCAGAACATGAACCCTCCAAGGAGATGGAGGAAAAAGCAAACTGCTAGGTGTAAAAGCAAAACAGTGTGATGTCACAGATACCACAGAAATCATCTCAGGGAGAAGGAAATGGCCAATGGGGCTAAATGTAGGGAAGAGGTTAGGCAAGATAAGAACCAGTAATGCTTTATTTGTTTATTTATCAAGGAATTTATTGACGCAGAGATCATCGCTTGGATATCTTGTTTAGCTCAGTTCCAGTAGAGGAAGGAAGCTAGATTGCTAAGAGTTGAGCAATGAATGAGAAAGGAGAGAGTGAGAAATTGTAGACACGTCTCACCTGTAAAGTACATTTTCAATAAATTGACCCTTAAAGGAGGTATAGAGAGATCTTGCATATGGGTAAGACAGAGATTTTCTTTTAAGATGGTATAAATTTGAACATGTTTAATTGGTGGTGCTAGATGAGAGAGATCTGCCCACCTTTCAGGGCCCATGTGAAGCGAAGAGGGACAGAGAGGAAGGTGGCGATGTGGGTAAATATAAACATTTTAGTGTGTATTGATAAACAGTGCACAATGCTTTCAAAGAGGGTCTTTAAGCAGCATACATTCCTGCTAGTAGTTACAAAAGTGCTTATTTGGTGATTACTCAGTCCTCATCAAATGCTACTTACAACCTCCCCTGCAAAACTGTTTGTGAAAGAATCTCATTATTGTTCTAATTTGTTCTCTAGTTTCTTTTTCTTTTTCTTTTTTTTTTTTTTTTTTTGAGCTGAGAATCGAACCTAGGGCCTTGCGCTTAGCAAGCGCTCTACCACTGAGCTAAATCCCCAACCCCTGTTCTCTAGTGTCTAATGAGTTGAATATTTTAACCAATTGTGCCTTTGAGTGTGAATGTGTGAGTTTAATCTATAACCTTTGCCTAAAGGATACTTTTGTTTGCCTCAAAAAACAGAAGTCAATCTGAATGGCACATATATTAATATTTCCCCAAGTAATATTCAGGCTCCCTTTTCACTTTTTATCTCCTGACCCCTCTCCTGTTCCCCCTACTCCCTCTGATCTCTTTCTTTACCTAGCTAGTCACCTTTTCATTCTTTTTCAAATTTATTTAAGTTATTTATTTTTGAAGACCCAATCCGTTTCATCACGATTGCTTACAATGTCCTGGGTAATTATTTACAGGAGCAGGGGCTCCTTACCAATGCCTACACCACTGAAGAAGATATCTTTCCTTCCCCCAGAGAGACCCTTGTTTCCTTAGGAGCACTTCACAGTTGGACAACTTCTGGCTCGCTGAACAAAAAGGTAAGTGAACTCCCCCTCTTCCCCCATCATCTAAGAGTGTGGCCAGGGATAGACGTAAATGGCGGAGGAGGTGCATCCAGTAGGTCCTCAAAATCTGCTAACTCAGGAGGAAATTCCTCCAGTGCCTTAAGGCTTGGGTTCCCAGAACTCTCTTTGCTAGTTGGCCCTCAGCTAAAATATCCCTGCGCTCCGTGCGGCCCCTTTAAGAGGCCAGCTCCTCCCCCGCTCCAGGGAAAGTTGCAGCTTTTCCGCCTCCTGGGAGGGTGAGTAGGGCCGGCCGCCAGGGTTGCGGTCTTGGTCTCCTCGGAACTGGAGACCCTCCCTACCCTTCGGCACCCAGAGCTTTGGTCACCTAGTAGCACCTGTTGCAGGTGACAGGTAGGTGGCAGGCAGCTAGTGTCTGAGCGCCCCTCGCCCTCTGTCTGAGACTTCGAGGACCCCCAGCCCCGTGTCTCGCCCCCCCCCTCGGGGGGGTCATGTGCCCTGCTGTACCTTGTGTGTCCCTGTCCTCCGTCCCCAGCTGCCACACGGGCACCTCTGTCGTGTCCGCGTCTCGGGACCGCACCCCCACGCGGTGCCTCCAGTCTGCTCCGGGCGGTCCCTCCCTGCCACTTTTCCTTCTCTCGGGCTGCTTCTGCCGGGTTCTCTTGGACCGTGTCTCTGGGTGCTGCCTCTCCACAGGTACCTCTGACCCAGGGCGCCCAGGCTTTTTCCCGCCAGCCTTGGCCCCTCTGGAGAGCTAGCCGGGTGCGGGCTGGGACGGGCTTCTAGCAGAGCTGGATCCTCCTCGGACTTGGCGGCTAGTCACCTTTTTGTGACTGCTTCTCGCAGGGTTTGGCGGTCCAGCTCCTTCGGTGGCCCCTCGCTGTTTCTGAGACCTCCAGGCTTCTATGTTCCTAGCTTCGCCTTGTCTCTCCACCACAGGTACAGGCTAAAGGCCAGTTGACTGTGAGTTCTGCCTCAGTGGGTTCCCTTTGGGCTTGGGGCTGGAGACCCAGCTGTGTACTTTGGAGCTGAACTCCTTTATCATGCTCCCTTCAAGCAGGCTGGGGGATTGCTTCTGGCAGAAGGACACCAGTGTTCCCCCAGCCGGTAGCATTGGAGAAGATGGGGTTGGAGGAGAACTTGATGCCCAAGTAATTCGCTTAACATTCTGGTAGCTTAAAAAAGTGATGGGTTTTGCTTTAACCAACCCTTTTCCCCCCTCCTGTGCTGCAGCTTCAGGACCAGAGGACCTAGCATTCTAGAATACTGCTTCTAGCAGGATCAACACTGAGTCTTGTATATCTGTGGGAAAATTAGTCCCACTACATCCCTGGGTGCCCCACCCCACTTCCCCCCTTTCTGTTTTTGTTGTTTGAGACAGATTCTCATTTTAGCTCAGATTGGTCTGGAATTCATTTTGTGGACCAGGCTGGACTCACACTGGCTGGTAATTCTCTTGCCTCTACCTCCCAAAGTGCTGCCATTACAGGTATCACATCTGTTCTCCGCTTCTTCTTTTTTCACTGGATACCCTTCTGCTCTTTCAGCTTCATATCCCCACTATTCATAAATACATTGATATTAAGGAGTTAATGAACTAAAGTGTAAATTTACCCTGAAGTAGTGAAAACAGTGTTTAATGGAGAGAGCTGTGGCAATTTTTTTTTCTTGGTGTGTGTGTAAACACCTGCTGGAAATTGTAGTAGAAACCCCCCCCCCCACACACACACACACACAAAACTGGTTTGTGAGGCTCCATTTGGGTAGCTGATGAACACTGGTAACATGATTTAAGTTGCTACACCCTAGGTCAGAGTGGTGAACTTGAGCTTGGAGGTCTGTTCTGGGATTATTGGGCTGTGAGTGTATGAAGCATTCTGGTTGGTGTTCTCTGAGCACTTTACCTTCAAGGTTGGAACTGCTGTGATGATGGTACAGTGAATGGATGAAGTCAGGCATGGTGGTAAGTTCTCACATTATTTCAGACAAGTTGCATAGTAATTCCCTACAATAGGGGCTACAGTTCCCACCATGACAGGATGAAAAGGAGACTGAGAGGTTAAGTACAGTGTCCTAAAGTACAGTGTCCACATTCTGACAGTGGGACAGAGCTTGTGTGAAGCTCCTAAGTTTTTTGATCCTTGCTTTCATCTTAAATGCATTGTGGAGTTGAATCACCTCATTCATGTCTTAACTGAATTCATTTTAAACATAGAGCCAGTTGCATGCTGCTGTTGTTAAGTACCTACCCCTGAATGTGCCTGGATGAAGGAAACCTCCAAAGCTCTCAGCTCCATGGCAATGGTCTTGAAGTTAGGAGAGCATAGTCCTGGATTTTAGAGGTGTATGTCTAGATTCTAGGGATGGCCACCTGATTCAACTTCTTCCTTTCCTGGGAGAGACAAAGGTGTAGTAGTGGGTAAGTATTTGCCAGAAATATGCGTATGCAACAAAGCCACATCAGGTGGAGTGGTACTGTGCCCTTTCTATTTGTAGTTTAGGTAGAGATAGTTGGGAGAATATGTCTTCCTCAACCCCACCTCTGGAACTTAAACTATTGTTTTTCCTCTGGGAAACTAGCCATTCGTATCCCTCCCTTTTATGAATTCTTATTCACCTCTCAGGATCTAGCCAAAAGTCATTGCCTTTGAAACAACCTCATTGAACACACACTTCCTCCCTTCAAGCAGAATGGCTAGTTATACTATGTTTAAGGACTTTGTTTACACTTCAACAAAGGTCCGAATACTGCTCTGTTTTTCCATCTAGAAGCTTGTAATCTTTGTAAGGGCAGTAACTGAATCCTGAAGTACAAATATTTGTGCTAGGGATTGGGGATGCAATGTCTTCAAGAAGTGGTGAGATTGGAATAAGAAGAAACCATCCTGAGCTACTTGGAACCCACTGTAGGGGTTTGTTCATAAGTGTTGTACCTCTGTTGGGAGGCAGTTAACCCACTTAAAATTGTAACTCCTTCCCTAAACATTGTTTCTACCTCTTTCCTACATTTGTCTTGCTTATTGATTGTTTCACCTCCACCCCATAAGACAAAGGCCATGTGGAAAAGAATTACTGTCTTTTGTATTCAGTGATGGTCAATGGAAGCAGAGTTCTGAGCACATCATAGGGGTCATACTGATGTTGGTTGAATGAATGAGTGAATGGCATTGCCATTCTAGGAACTGGAACTCATTTGTACTTTCCTGAGCCTATAACCAAACCTTCTCAGTTTGCTACCGTATACATGAAAGGATGCCCAAGGTCCTCTTTTCACACAGCTTTCCTTCTGCTGTCTTTGTCCCTTTGAGATTCTGTTCCTGATAACAACTTTGACCTAGTTATAAATATTTCCTCTCTTTAATTTCTAATTTGTTGGAGACAGAGTCTCAGAATGTATCTTAGGCTGGCCTAGAACACACTGTGTATCCTAGTTGGCCTCAAATTGATTCTCCTGCCTCTGCCTCCTGAGTGCCAGGATTGAAGATGTGAACCAACCTGCCTGACTAGAGCCCCCTCTTTATGTTTAAGTCCAGCTCTGTGGGTGGAAATGTAAAGCTACCCCTCTCCTTGCTTCATTTTCCTAACAGTGGTTGAACTGGGAAGGGAGGTGTGAATTGGCAGATGTCCTGAGGCCTTTTAGGCATGTGGCAAAGCCAGTGAGAGGGTCCAGAAGGTGATTGCAACTGGGAAGTGATGAGCTCAAAAGAAGAAAAGATGCACAAATTAGGTGTCTAGTCTTATCGCCCTTGACCTTTGTAAAGTGTCGGTGATTATTGGGTTATGGACTGTGTGGAGAAGTTCCAGCAGAGTGCTGCTTTTACAGAACTCACCTAGTTGTGTACTGGTTCTCTATAGGATGAGGCAACAACTGTGTAGCAAAACAAAAGTGCTATTTTGTTTAAATGTAGTTTGAAGTATCCAGGCAGAAAAACTTGCAGAAGGCATGTGGTAACATTGAACTTGGAAGGAGCTAGGCCCTGGAGAAGGTAGTGAGAGTGAGTGTGTACTTCTCACCTTTTATTGTGTTGGCTTCTTTGAAATTTAAGTTTGCACAAATAACTGCTTAGGCTCTTTAAAACTTATCTCCCCAAGCATTGAACACTGGAGTGTCTCAGCCTGCAGACTTCTCCACCCAAAAACTTCTCAGAATTTCATCCAGCACCATAGCTGTAACATCTCTCTGGACACTCATCATTAATGTTTCTCTTCTGGGTCTTACTTCTATGCTGATGCCTCATGTTCTTAGTGACCTATTTGACATTTCTACATGTCATCTGATAGATACCTCAAGGGTAACATATCAAATGAGGATTATTGATTGCCCGAACATCCTTAACTCTTCATTCAGCTTCCTATGACTAAGAAAAAGGGTACCATTATCCATTTAGCCAATTGAACCAAGATTTTTGTCAGCTCACTGTTGATTTCTGTCTTCTTCTTAGCCCACTGTATACAGTGTTTGAACTCTTGCTGATCTCAGATTCAAACTATATCATGCATTCTTCCATATGCCTCCATCTCTGCCCCTGCCACCCTTGTCCAAATCACCATGAAGTTTCACTGAACATTCTTTTTTCTTCCCTGAGACAGGGTTTCTTTGTGTAGCTCTGGCTGTCCTGAAACTAGCTCTGTAGACCAGGCTGGCCCTGAACTCACAGAGATCCTTCTGCCTCTGCTTCCAAGTGCTGGGATTAAGGGTGTGTGCCACCACTGCCCAGCTTCACTGAACATTCTTATGCAATAGTCAAGTACATACAACTGTTTCCGTGGACTAGCTTTGTATAGGTGTGAGATATATCTGTGTGTGCACACATGTACTTGTGGTTGTGTATACAGAGGCCAGAGGAGGGCTTTAGGTGCCCAGCTCTAGAATTCCTGCCTTATTCCCTTGAACCAGAGTTTCTCACTGAATTTGGGGTTTGCCATGTCTTGGCAGCCAGTGAACCCCTGTCTTCCTGGTTCCACCTTCCCTGTCTATACCTGGGGTTTTACATGGGTTCTGGGGATCACACTCAGGTCATCATTAGAACTCTTATCCACTGAATCATCTTCCCAGTCCCTAGAAAATCATTCTAGTAAGTGACCTTCTGGGTGAGGGAGGTATTGATTGATGGACAAATAGTTTCACTTCAACTGGAGAGAATAGTTTTAGTCATTTATTGCACTGCATGTTGACCGCTGCTGATGAATGGTATATTCTTAAAAAAAAGAATAGGCTGAATCTTTCTATAATGTATACATAGATCAAAAAATTGATTCTATCACTTAAATACATGCAATTATTATCAATGGAAGACAAATTTTACAGATAGACAGACAGACAGACAGACACACACACACACACACATTTTAAAAATTGAGTAAGCAAGACCTAGTTGTCATCTCAGAGGGTTTAACCATTTACTCTCAAGAGTATTTTTTTACTTATGCCCTTTTTAAGGATGGGTGATCTTTTAAAAATATCTCTTTCATTTTTTCTATGGTAGAGATCAAACCCCATAGTCTTATGCATAGTAGGCAGGTACTCTACCAGTCAGCTCCACCCCGAGTCTGGGACAATGTGGAATTTGCACCGAAGAAGCTTGGCTGTGATGGGAAGGAGACAAGGCTCAGGGAATATCACGATATTAATTTTGTGCTGTTTTAAATCCAGGATAGAGAGAAGCCTATTTATGAGCATGTCACATATAGTTAGATGATACAGCATCCCTGAGGAAGCTGGGGGTGATGATTGAGCACAATGAAAGTGGAGAAAGTACCAGACTTAGAGAAAGGGAAATAGCTCTTTCATTGGGATGAGAGAGGGAGGGCAAAGCTAGTGATGCTGTGGAGGCTGGGATTCTAGGGTGGTCCTCCTACCAAGAGTGAGGAAGGGCTCCAGTGGCATCTGAGAAGGGTGAAAACAAGGGTGCAGCATCAAGATTATGCACACAGCATAT